CGGTGTACCAACAACCATGACGGCCGTGACAAGATCCGAGCGATTTACCAGGATTACATGATGGCATATGGTGATTGGGACACAGGACGCATGAAGACGAGGACACCGCACTGAACATACAGGCCCAAACCAAAAAGGAGCGCGCCGCTTTTCAATGACAGTAGCTTTGGTGGTTTTGAGTTTCAATAGGTGAAAGGACACAGTTTGAGACCGATTCAGTCGGTCGGTGTTGACCATGTAGCTGAACAGTCTTGTGTCAATTGTGCTTGTGTAAGTTTGGAAACTGTCCATGCAAAGGGCGGTTGTCAAAACGATTCTTTTCCCAACAAGTCTTGAATCGGAATCTCTTAAGTTGATGGGCGCCTGTTTTTTGTTTTAATTGCGATATATTTTTGTTTATTTGATTTCACGTGATGCAAGGTTGCTCAAAGGTGATGAACAGCAAAAACACGGTGTGTAAAGACACAGTGCGAGGTGTCAAAAGCCTTCCTAAAGGTGTTTTGCAGCACATGTTCCACTTGTACGTGACTGTGTGTCGTAAATCAGTCGCCTCCAAACTGTTGGAATGTGTTTTAACCTTTACCCAGGTGTGACTCGGTCATGTTTCTTGAATCGCGCCTGACTTGGGGATAGTTCAGTGAGCAGAGAAACCGTTTCAGATGTTCTCGTGCAAGTTTGGCACCGAATAAGCAAAACTGCCGTTGTTGTTGCTGCTGCTGTTGTTGTTGTTCTTCGTGTTCTTCTTCCAATTATTTTTGGACTTCAACGGATCAGGAGATTGTTTGTTGTTGCCAACTATCATGTTTTGGCACCTTTCAATCGGGTAATGTTTGTCATTTAGTGTGCACTTTTTGGTTTGGATAAATGAAGGTTCGTTTTGGCGTAGCATTTGGTGATTTCAGGTGGCGAATGCAGTAATCCGCGATTTTTGGCTTTATCAGGGTTCAACTCCGATTTCTGCGATTGCAGAATTAGTTGGAGCCCAAGCAGGTGGGACGTTGTTGTATTTTCAAGCCATCTTCTTAGAACATTGAGATCAAATTGAAGCATTTGTGTCCGCTCAGGTGTCACCATGAGTGAGGAGAACATATCCAATGTCACTGAAGCCATCTGCGAACCAAAGATTTGTCAGGTGCAGCTCATTTGTTGCAGATCTGGCAACTACTGTATATTTTTTGATATAAGAAATGCTTGGATTCATAACCGGAATGTCGGGAAATAGAGATGAGCTGTTGGTTGCTCTTCTAGAGCATTTGCGCATCGCTTTTCGTGGAGGTTGGTGGAGGTGGGCTATTGTTGCCTCTCTTTGCACCAGGTTGGATGGAAGACACGGAACTGACTTTTCACGAACTTATTTGCATATCTGACTGGAGTGTTTCCTTACTCTATTCATACTGACACTTGAGACTGCTCTTGGTTTGCCAGATGTTGCATGATCAACACGCAAAACTTGTTGTGCTCGTTGGAAATTGATCCCTGCTTTCTGTGCAGATGAACAAGAATGGGACATAGGACTTCGCGAGAACCTCAGCTGGGTTCGGGTGGAATATATTGTTTGAATTTTTTACTTAAGTTTCCCTAAACATCTAGGAACCAAATGAATAGTGTGAGCTGTCCTGCGTCCATGGTAATAGCTAGTATATAGCTACTTGTGGCTACTTAAGCTACTAGCTACCTCAGTTCCTTACTTAATTAAGTAGGTAGTGGGGGGGGGAGCGGGCAAACAAAAAATACAATAAAGATATAACGTGTTTGGCCTTGATGTTCTTGGTGGGTCGAAGCTATATCTTGACTGACCTGACACTCCAGCCTCTTGCAGGGCGGCAAGGTGTACGAACCAGTCAAACCGGTGACACCGCGCATTTGAAAACACATCTCGGCTACCTGCAGAATGCATCACAATGATAGTTTGTCCTGGCGTTTTTCTAACAACAAGCCTATTTGATTTGAAGGATGCTTCAAGCCTATTTGATTTGAAGGATGCTTCTTGCTTGAGGTGCTGTACTCTATTTCACTGGCCTGCTATGGTCTTTTATGGGTTTGAGCCTTGGGATAGTTGCAGCGGTCATGTCCACTTCCGAAACCTGTCGGTTTGGGATCGTATTTTTGGGACCTGGCAAGGTGTAGGGATTGTGTCCGACATCTTCATGGGAGCGATTGAAAAGGCCAGAACTTTGTTTCGAGCGCGGCAGGGTTTGTAGGAGCAACTCGATCGGCCAGGTTACTTCGAAGAAGAAACGCGTTTTCAGCTCCAACTTGCAGACCTTCATTACCGCAACCTTGCTGGAATCTTCGAGACACCAGTTTATGACCTTGTATGATTTTCTTGGATGTTTTGCTGGATTGCTTCAGGTAAAGGTGTGGAATTCAACAGTAGCAAACTTGACACTGATGGCCTTGGGATCCAGTGCGCCAGAGATCCTCTTGAGTGTTCCGAGCTCAGAACACACCGGAGCACGGGTGAGATCTCCAGTGTTGCTTCGTTTTCCGTTTTGTTATCCTTTTGCCCTTGCAGGTGGCAAAACAAATGACACGTTTCCAGTGGGCACTGACAACCTGAATTTTGTTTGCGGTTCTGTGGAGAAGGAAACACATCGCTTTCTCATCGCAGTTGTTGGGCTGCCCGTGGGAGGTTTGATTGAAGCAATCACACACCCGTGGGAGCAAAGATAGGTCAGCTGAACAGGTCAGACATCACAGTTGAAGACCTTCATTCTTAGAATGCTGAAGTTGGCGACCCAAGTTCTTCTGAAGCCCAATTCGACCCGAATTGGCGAGGTCGTGAACTGGGGGAGAAACGTCCAGGGTCCAGGGTGTATGAATCTCAACATCATGAGTTGGTTCAACAATTGGGCTTTGGTTGTTGAGGAGAAGGTGAAAAAGTAGCGCCCAAGTTATGATACCGGTCATTTGGTTGTGATATGTGAGTGAGATGTCCAACACATGCTTTGTTGTTTCGCAAGAACAACGCAGTCACAGATTGGATCTGTGATTTTTCAAGGTCATAGAGCTGCTGAAGAATGGCATGTATTCGGGAGATTTGGGGCCGTCAACGATTGTAGGGACCTGAGCGGAGCGAGCGCCTCCGTCGGAGCGCCTCCGTTTGACCGTTTGACCGTTTAGTGATGAGCTGACTTTTGTGCCAACACTGAACGATGCAGGTCGGAAGCGCTGCTTTCAATCTCCTTTGTATCACAGCAGTCTGTGTTTCCGCCATCCCAGAGGGAGAGGTCCGTAGAATCAAAGACATTGGGGAGACACTGGCATGTTTAGATTTGGCTTGTGGTGTTTGTGCGTGCTAGCAGGTTGGAGGCCATTGTTATTAGGTTGGAGGCCATTGCTATTAGGTTGATGTGAAACTACTAGGTTTTGCTTGTGTTGTTTGTGCAAGCCCTTTGAATGCCCAGGTCTTCGCCGTCACCGCAAGTTTCTCCGTCTTCGCCTACTTGTGGCTGCTAGTCATTTGTATGTTGTGGACGCCCGATGCACTGCCGGCATGAGTTCGGACGAAATCTTAAATTCTTGACTACTGAGCAACTGAATGGCAGATCATCACTATTGAAGAGGCAGGCAACCCAGTTGTTTGCAGGCGTAATCTGGGTTAGATCACCCAGACCAGAGATTCGCACGTTGCCTTCCCAACAAAGCCAACGCTGTTTTTGGCTGTGATGCATACCGATTTGGCTGAGAAGCTTGGTGGCTCAGGGACTCATCACTTTCTTTCTCTTTCCGGTTCTAGTCTTGATTGCCTACATGGCTGCCCAGATCTCAGATCTGCTCACTCGATGAGTGTGTGTAAATAACCGTATGTGTGTTTGTGTCAGTTTGTGCTGGCAACTAAGCATGGTGTGTGTTTGGTTGAGGATAAGGGGTACTTTGCCAAGAACAAGAAGAAAGGAGAAGAAGAAAAGGTTTTGCTCGATGCCGCCACGGAGCAGGCCAAAAGCACATGCTGCTGGTGCTCTCTTTTGTTTCCACGTGCAATATGACGTTTTCACCTTTGTGTATTCTTTTTCGTGCTTCGCATTTCTGGGAAGGAAATTGCAACAATGAGAATGCGCATCCTGAAAAAGCACGGCACTGGCATTCCTGACGTATTTCCGGCATGTTTTGCTGCAGCATTCAGTTGAAACGTCCGCATTGACCCGATTTGCAAGGACAAAGTTGTGGCTTTGATCAGAGAAGAGTTTGGTGCCGTAGTGTCACCCTTAGGGTGGACTCCACCGCTTGGAATGAAAAGCTTACCGACTTGACTGACTGACTTGTGAGAAAAGGATGCCAACAAATTGATATTGCCAACTGGTCAGGAGTCAGGATTATATAATATTGGGTCAGGTTCATATTTAGGACTTCAGGTTCTCCAAGTTAGTTTTTGACCCTTCTCCCAGGAAGAGCCTTCCAGGGCAGCTAGGCGCATGGCTGCTACTGAGAAGCTCTTTGGTGGTGGAAGGACCGCCGTTTCCGAAGGTTCAACCAGTCGGAACCTTTGTTGGAGTCATTCATACCGTCCTAATTCATGTTTGTTTGTGACATTTGGACACTGCAGTAACTCATTTTTCAGGAAGTCAGCTCGTTTCATTTACAGTAAGTATATTTGCTTATGAGCTCAGCGCTTAGCACGGATCAAGACATCATATGAACACATCACATCGTCGCAGCCGTCGCACTTTCAGTTTGGATACCTAAACTAATCTCCTTTGACTTGATTTTGCATCCTCTCACAGTCAACTTGTTGGCAGCATTCTGCAACGCATTTTCGTGGCAAAAGATTTGGGCATGTGGAACCATGGCATGCTTTTTTGGTTGCTTGCACCACGCAACACACCATGCAGTTTTGGTGCGTTTCCAACGTTGTCACCGCAGTTTTGGACTGCTAGCTGCTAGCTTTCGTTCCCTGCAGAAGTTTGCTAGGAGAAAATCAGCAGATAAAGTTGTCGCGAGCCCCAGCTTTTACCAGCTTCAACTGAGGATGTCTTTGCGTGAACACAATTTGACTGTGAATGCTTAGGTGCCTATCCAAATCACACCTGATCAGGCTTTGTTGTTTCGGTTTTTGTTGCACCACTACAATTGCAGAGCGGCGCTTTCTAAAGACTTTCTGAAGACTTGCCAATTTCAGGGGCCAGCAAAGCAGAACGTGACGTTTGAATTTGAGTCTCCTGCTCAGAACGTGGCCCAAACGAGCCGGTTTCGAAACGAGATCTTGTGAGATCTGGGCTGAGTAGTGATGGGGAGAACTGGGTGTGCATGATCTTGTTCACGTAAATGGCCAAGCACAGCGCCAAGGCACACGGAATACTCCTGCTTAGAGAGCTGCGACACACTGGAGCGTCGACTTCGTTTTACTTTGTACGATTGAAGAAAGTGAACAAGCAAGCGTTTTTTGTTACGAATGTTGGCTGAAGCTATCTGAACTGTGAGGAGCTAGTGATCACACGTGAGTCTGACACCACAGCTACCCTTGGCCCAGGAACTGTCAAGTGCCCATTCTTGGAATATTTCCTGAATATTCTGTCAAGAAAAGCCCAAACTCACGCTTTTGTTTGATTGGCAGGTACAAGACCAAGGAGATCACTGCCAAAAATGGAAAGGATTTCATCGCAGACGAGGGTATTTTAGAATTTGCAGAGGTGGATTGGCCGAACTATTCTGTTTTGAAGAAGTAACAACTGCCATACTGTGCGACTGTGGAATCTGGATAATCTGGACGGTGTTTTAGTGTTTTACCATGTTTTACCCTTCTACCGCTGGCAAAGTCTCTTGCTTTGGTGGCTTCCGTGAATGCAGCTGCACTGAAGGGACGGTTCAATTCAAAGCATGGGCCCTGATGGTTCGCCACAATGCTGTTCTCTTCAGGACGAGGACCAGAAAATCTTGTGCATCAAGATTCTGGATGACGACGAGCATGAGCCTGACACGTATTTTGACGTGGAGCTCTCCGAACCAAAGACGACCTCAAGCAACGTGTGGCCCTTGTGGCCCTTGTGGTCCTTTCAAGCAGCGATGCCCTTGTTCCTAGTAGCGATGCACTTGTTACTAGTAGGCATGCACTTGTTCCTAGTAGCGATGCCCTTGGTACTAGTAGCGATGCCCTTGCTACTAGTAGCGGTGCCCTTGTTGCTAGTAGGCATGCACTTGTTCCTAGTAGCGATGCCCTTGGACCTAGTGGCGATGCCCTTGCTACTAGTAGCGGTGCGAATGTTACTAGTAGCGTTGCCCTTGTTCCTAGTAGCGATGCCCTTGTTCCTAGTAGCGATGCCCTTGTTACTATGTTACTAGTAGCGATGCCGATGCCCTTATTACTAGTAGGCATGCCCTTGTTCCTAGTAGCGATGCCCTTGTTCCTAATTGTGATGCCCTTGTTCCTAGTAGCGATGCCCTTGTTCCTAGTCGCGATGCCCTTGTTACTAATAGGCATGCACTTGTTCCTAGTAGCGATGCCCTTGTTCCTAGTAGCGATGCCCTTGTTACTAGTAGCGATGCACTTGTTACTGGTAGGCATGCACTTGTTCCTACTAGCGATGCCCTTGTTCCTAGTAGCGATGCCATTGTTACTAGTAGCGGTGACCTTGTACCTAGTCGCGATGATGCCCTTGTTACTAGTAGCGATGCCCTTGTTATAGTAGCGGTGCCCTTGTTACTAGTAGCGATTTCCTTGTTACTAATAGCGATGCGCTTGTTCCTACCTAGTAGGGATGCCCTTGTTAGTAATAGTGATTCCCTTGTTCCTAGTAGCGAGGCCCTTGTTCCTAATAGGGATGCCCTTGTTAGTAATAGCGTTGCCCTGGTTACTAGTAGCGATGCACTTGTTCCTAGTAGTGATGCTCTTGTTAGTATTAGCGATGCCCTTGTTCCTAGTAGCGATTCCCTTGTTACTAATAGCGATGCCCTTGTTGCTAATAGCGTTGCCCTTGTTCCTAGTAGGGATGCCCTTGTTACTAATAGCGATGCCATTGTTGCTAATAGCGTTGCCCTTGTTACTAGTGGGGATGATGAAAAGTGTAGAGAGTTGGAGGGCCAAATTGCCAAGGCAGTGGCTGTCCTCGGCAAGTCCAAGACAGCTCACGTGCTTCAGCCGAGAGGGCCGAACCCGAACACGCAGCTTCAAGGCCCGTTGGTCGCATTGATTGAAGCTGATGCACCAAGGTGAGGATCGTTGATGATGATGCTGTCGGTGTGCTGGCGTTTAGGTTTCCAGAAATGAAGGCGCGCTCAGTCTCCTGTGGTCTTTGGTCAAACGTTTAGAACTTCCGTCTCCTGCAGCGTTTCGATCTCCACGCTTGCACAGGTCCCAGAAGACTTTTCTGGGGAGAAGGCCAGTCGGCTGGCTAGACGCCTTGTTCAGAAACTTATGTAGATTGGGGAAAGGGTTTTGCTGTGGGTTAAAAAATTGTTTCTCTTTTTTGCTTTACACACACATGTCGTCGTTGAGTTCTTGCAGGAAATTTCTATCATGGTTCTGCGACAAGCAGGTGCAAAAGGGTCTTACTCGCACGCTTGGCAGCCTCAACATGCTATGATTGGTTCACTTGTTTGTGAGGTTGTTTGTTGTTGTCGTCAGTGAGTGGGTATTGTTTGGGTTACACAAATATGTATATATATATATATCATATTTTATATAATATTCCCCTGCTGTATTGCCACTGGCAAGTGTAGAAAGTACCTAGGATCGAAAGCCCAAACGAAAGCGAAACAGAAACACAAAGCAACCCCTTTGACGAAAGCTCTCCCAAGGACAAGCACACTGAATGAAGCCCCCTTGCACATGTTGGGATTGGGAAATCCGTTCCAGAAGAGACACTTTCTAGCCACTTTACCTGAAATCCCAAAAGGCATTCGAGGAATGTCTGATGGGCTAATGGGATACTTGAGATGCCAGAGAGCATAGGTGGTTCTATGAGTGTACTACCCGAGCAACTTATCAGCATTGTCCCGATCAACCCAGGGAATTTGCAATCGAAGCTCTTGATAAGGACACAAGAAAATACCCATATACCGGCTTGCACTGTAGTGCACTGCTGCCTACTGCTACTACTAATACTGCTGCTGCCACTCCGTTGCCACTGCTACTGCTACCGAGTTACTGCTACTGCTGCTGCTGCTGCTGCTGCTGCTGCTTTTGCTACTACTACTGTTACTGCTACTGCTACTGTTACTGTTACTGTTACTGCTAATCTCTAGCTCTTCTGCATAAGCCGAAAGAAGACATTCGGCAAACAATCAAGATCTGCTTTTTGGGAAGAGCCGTGTGAAGTACCTTGTCCCAGACGTAGAAAGGTGCGCAATGGTATGTCCTTGTGGCAAGGGGGTGTTTGTGCCTTGTGTGTTTGCAACACAATGAAATGTGCACTTGTAACGTCTTTGCACGGGTTAAACCATGTCTGTCAAACATTTATTGCATCGTGCCACTATTGATCAATATGCGGTTTGCAGATCTCTGTGTGGAAACTAGCCAGGCTCATCACATGCCAGTACAGAACCGAAGATGGAACGGGAATCTCTGGAATCGATTACGAAGAAGCAACTGGGACGCTGGAATTTCCAGACCAAGAGGCCGCATGGTCTGTCTTGATGAGAAGCAAAGACGCATTTTTGCTTGTAGACTATGCTATGCTCCTAAGATCTCGTGAGTGTAAGGCCTGATCAAGTCACGGCCTTTCTATCCTTGCTACTACTAACATGTTTTAGACGAGAACGCTTTGGGAACCCTCTCATTGTAGCTTGACACCAAAGCTTTCATTGTATTTCTGCGCAGACTGAAGCAGAAGTCAAGATCACCATCAAGCCAAAAGGTGCTCTTCTCAAGACTCTTCGGTTTCCAGTGCTCCTTTTTCACTGGGAATCTTGGAGGGCCAACATGTTAGAGAGAGAGAAAGAGCAAAAAGACCAAAGGAAACAAGACACGAGGGGATGACCATTGCACGACGAGACACGCACAAAATGTATACAATACAATATTTATACACATACAAGGTGCTCCGGCGGCAGTGCCGGTCCGGTGGGCGCACGTTTTGCCACCTAAAAATCTAGAATCAACTGTGTACAACTACGGCTTTCAGCACGGTGAATGGTTGAGCGACGGCTCACGTGGATATCTGACGTGTGATGTGTGTGATTTGCTGCACTTTGTGATGCTGCGACATGTGACGCGTGGTTGTGTGGGCGGTGAGTGAGGAGTAATCAGTAGGATGTGATGTGTGGCCTTGGGATTTTCCTTGTGACATGCTCAGGTCGCTTTGATAGCACTTCCATCTTCAGGTTGTACATTGAAGAACCGTTTGGAGCTTAGCTTCAAGATTGTGACATTGTCGTGAAGACGAACATCATGAAGTGGGACTCGTGGGAGCTGTATGCAGCAAGGACTGGGGGTGCTACCTTTGCGGCTCATACAGATGGTGGTGAGGAGAGCTGGACGACCAGTTGTTGCTCCGGGTACCTTGAAGGAAACATGATGCACCACAGGCACTTACTGTAGATAGTTTATATTTGAACAATGCTTCGTGGTGGTGTCCAGGTGGTGCAGGATTTTCTTCGGTCAACAGTCTGTTTGCTGTTATGTAACACAGAGACATTTGCATGATGCCCAACTGTTCTGTTCATTGGGTACGTGTTCACAACTTTGATGGTGCAGGAGTGCTGCATCTGCACCATTATAGTTGGTACAGATCAAGACACCAAGAGACGAGCGGACAAGTTGATGCAGGCGCCAACTGGAAGCTCAGCACAGAAGAGGAAAATCACTGAACTCCTTAGTTTGGCTAATGAGGCGACTCCTTAAGAAACAATTTTCGATGTCCAAAAACCGTTCAGACTCCAAAAAGACTTTTGTTTGAACTCCGGTCAGGCCTTCAAGGTCAACTGGGACGTGCAGATTATGGCCAGGGACAACTGGAAGGTTGGAAGTGGTTTGGATGAATGAAACATGGAAGGGTTCGAGATACAAACTATGGGTATTCACGATAGACTGACTTATTACTGAGTCCGACTTGCTTGTGCTCCGTTTTCAATCGTGCCAGGATCAATTCATAGATGCTGTTTTCCTTGACACCGGAGAAGCAACAGCCACGGACCTGGAAAATGCTTGTTGAATGAACACTCAGATCAAAGTTTCCATTACCAAAGTAAGCAGTGACAGAATAGGCAGTGACAAAGTAAGCAGAGACAAAGCTGTGTCACTGGTTGACATTGTGTGAAACTTGGCAGGGTTGCGCAGTGGCCGTAGCCTGGTTCTTCCACCTCGTCACGATGCCCTGGAAGGCAAATCGGGGCACAATCATAGTGTCTTGCCTCTTGAGTGGCAAGATGCATGACATCCGCAGAGAGCATCCTGGTGATCGGACGTCCGCCTCACTGAGAGTTTGCCAGGTTATTTTTGCTCTGATCCCACCTGCCAGAATCTGAAAAATAGAAGAGAGTGGTGACAATTGTGAGGACGGGGCATCAAGAGGTTCGGTGTCAATCGAGTTTCGACTGAGGTCGACTACTGCGGCGGTTGGGTTTGCTTTGTTTGTTCGCTCTCCATGATTGGTGGAGTTACAGCTCTCATAGGTGGCAAGCCGAGCGGAGACGCCAAAACAAGAGCGACTTTTGCAAAGCCTTCGCGAAACATGGAAACTGCCAGAGCTGGTTTGGAAGATGACGGACCGCTGGGTGTGGTTTGTCAGTTGGAGGCTAATTCAACAAAGCAAGTTTTATTGAGGTGATTTGGCTGAGCTCTGTGGTTGTGCCTTGTTCGCACGTATGATGGTTTTTCCCTTCATATACGTTTAACTTGAAACTTGGACTTAAGACTTTAGCTGGCATTTGTTCAGATTGCACTCGTGGCCAGGCGTCGTGTCAATGCCAGATGCTATCACTGCAATATCGTTAGTGGCCCTGGGTACTAGCTTGTCTGGCGCTTGGATTGAACACATACTCGTGTCACTTAATCTGCCGGTGCTGGAACCAGCGAGCATCTCCTGAGTATGCCAGCTTTTGCAAATGCCTATCCTGGCACCAAGGCCTGATACGTTTGCTTCCAAGACAGCAGCGGAGCAGGACAAGTCTGCATTTGACCATCTTTGCTCTGCTGCTGCAGCAACAGTCCACCAATTCTTGTCGAAGCAAGATGAAAGGCCTTGAGTAGATGATGCCTCCTACAAAGTGCTTTCGTACAAGGTATGGTTTTGTCGGGACCAAGTAATCCTAGGTTTGCCAGGTGATCGACATGGCTCATTTGAATGCTATTTGGCACAAACTTCCATTGGTTGCAGGATCCCACTGCCGATGCCTCCATTGGGAACGTGACAGGTAGCAACTCCGTCAACGCCGGTCACTTACTGTACGTCTTCTGTAAGCTGCATGTGATGACCATTTGCTTCAGAGAGAAGCAGCGCCAAACGACCAAGGTCTTCCTTGGTCTTGGCTTGCCCTGGTCGATTGGTGCAATCTATTGGGCTGCATTGGGTGCGCTCACAGCTGATTGGCTGAAAGTCTTGCAGTACACAGCTAGCTTCTTGCTGAGGCAACTTGCCCTCTGACCATGGCTGGTTCACAAAATACGCTGGCCAAAGCCAGCGTCCCAGCAGTTCCTGAACACAGGATGATCTAGCTGCGTTCCTCAACATCCCAGATTTGGGAAGCTGATTTGCTGTCAGGTGTGATTACCGATCATCCAACAGGCGGAGTGTTTGTCGTTCTGGGAGGCAACTTGGGCTTTAGTGTACAGGCCTAAGCGAAACAGGACGGTCTTTGGCTTTGGATGTCACTTTTCTTTTGCATGTTCATCTGACTGGCGAAACACAGTCCATGTCTAGCTGAGTCGTGCGCTGGCTGTGCGCTGAGGTGGCAGTATTCTGCTGCTGCGCGTCCGCCTGCATCCTGGCGCGGTCCTTGTGACGCCGAGCGAGCTCGGAACCTCCGTCCGTGAGTCTCCTCGGTCGGCTTCGCTTCGCTTCGCCTTCGAACTGAGGTGATTTTGTTGAGAAGATGGTTTGTGGGTGGTGAACTTGGGGGCCCCAAAGGCGACTCCTTTCTGAAGCTGACTCGAGCCATGACTCGAGTCTCGAGTGAAATTGAACTGCCTTCAGACCAGATAATTAATCATATTCAATCATATTCTGGCTTGTGAGACCAGTCCTGTCGCCAGGGACAATGTACGCCACGTCCTGTTTTCTCGCCGGGAACTCAAGTTGCAGGGTTTTTCTTGTCCCTAAATGTGACTGCCACCTCCCTACGTTACAAGCTATATTTGCTATTCTTTCACACATGCTGGTTTCAAGCTGCTATTGCCTTTTTTTGTTCTGCGCCGCTCTGCGCCCAGCTTTTTTGTTCTTTGTGCCTTCAAGTGGGCGAAGGCGGCGAAGGTCTCCTTCTCTTGCACTGGGCCACAGCTCTTGCACTATGTGGGTTGTGTGTGTGTGTGTGCGTGCCGTCCTTTACCCTCACTGGCATGGTGACAGAACGCGTTGGATTTGTGCACCCTTCCTTGTGAGCTTGTTGGTGCTTTGATCTTGCTGTAAAGTAACCCGACGTCGCTCCAAAACAAAGAACCCGGTGACTGTGGAGTTGGGTCATATTCGATGTGAATCATCAGGTTTGGGCTACTGAACACTTGTCCCCTCTCAGCCGACTCTTGCAGCACTTGCACCTGAGATTTCTGCAGCACTTGGAGCACATGTAGATTTGTTATCTTTCGGAACGCAGTAGATGCATTGATGATCCGAGATTGAGATGTCAAGTGCTCCTGCTCTTCTTGACTTCTTTGTGCTTCAGCAAGATCTAAATGCATCGGAGCCGACATCAATAATGGAGACAGCAACAATGAGACAACATATGAGCTGCTCAGAGCTCGATTGCCAAAGGATGTTTCCATCAACGAACAATCCACAAAGTGAAGCCACAACAGCCAACAGAAGCACATGCAATGCATTGCATTCCCTCTTACACATCCGCTATTGAGGTCAGCCTGTGGCTCCTGTACGTGGGCCTCTCCTCGTGGAACGTCCTTGCAGCTGGTTCGGATTGTTGAGGCTGGATGAGTCTTCTGAGAAAGAACAAGCTAGAGCTGGATAGCACCCACATGCCCCCCGTTGTGATGTTGCCGCCCGAGACATAGCCGCTGTTTCCAGGACTGCTTGTGCTTTGAATGTCGGACAATCAGTGACGAAGTCTTCATGTTTCACCATCATCGAATAAACGGAGCATGTATCACACGGCAGCACAGTCGGAGAGTGTCGCTGCCCACGAGACTGTGTTGACGCACGTTGTGTCGCCGGCGTGCCGGTTGTAACATCTGGGTGAAGTTTGCCGGCTTGGAAAAGAGATGGCAACGGATTGTCCATTTCAATGCTCTTTTAATGCAGAAGCACACACTTAGTTCAATAATCATAGTCCCAATCAAAACGACTCCTGTGCACAACAACAAAACAGGCTTGAAGCCCTAAAGCTTCACTGCCGAAGCAGTGATTGCTAACAGCAATCGCTTGCCCACAAAGATTGGGCGACCCTGCCCTTTCCTGGTTCGGCGAATTGCCCTGCCAGCACGGCAGGATACGCTTGGATTGACTGAGTGCGAAGGACATCTCAATTTTTATGGTGGCAAATAGAGTGTCCCTTCCCAGCTTTCTTGCTACGTGAGCTGGCCAGTTAAGCAGTTACGTTGAATGCAGTTACGTGGAGCTTTGTAACTCCCAGACTCTTGGCTCAAAGGGTTTTCCTTCGCACTTGCCATGGAGAGAAACCCACAGCAGCGCGGTGCAATTGCCTTCTTCATTTGCTTTCATTCATCGCTTTTCTCCGCGGACTCTGATGAAGTTCATGTTTGGCTAGAACGGAATTCTGAAGCTCCAGCGAGAATTCTAGTGGGGTGCCTGTTTCTTTTTTCTGTCCAGGCTGAATAGTTTGGGACTCAGTCCAGGCTGTATGCCAGACCCCAGGAACGCCGCTACTTTCATTCACAAACAATTGGATCCAACTAACACTGGGCGTAACTGCTTTGACCAAAGGATCTCAGACTATTTCCCTGCTATCAGCATTTGTAGAGACATCGTCGGAAACCCGTCTACCTAGCAACACCCTCATCACGAATGACATGGTCTTTGATGCTCCATACAGACCTCTTTGGTTGGTCAGATCTCTTTCCACACATCGTGCGAAGGAAGTCATCACGGAGTCGATCTTTGTCGAAGAAAGAGTCATGGTGCGCTGGGATCATTTTGTGAACGGAGACAAGGCATGGTATTCCTGGGGCTTTGTGCGAGAGAGTCCAACCAAGCATTTCCTTGGATCGGTGACGGGCAACACGCCAGCGACGGGTCGTTTTGAGTGGTCTGTGCCTCCCAGACTCTGTGGCAAACACGTGCAGATTGAGATGTGCAGTGGAAGTCCGCCGCGACGGACGAAGCACGCGTGCCACACGTCTGCTCCTTTTGTGGTGGAAGGCAATTGCGTTGCAGAGGTGCCTGTGCAGACGACCAGCACCACCACTGAAGCAGCAGCCTTGAGGGAGATGGGTCCGCTTGGATTGGGAGCAAGGTCGCGGAGCTGGAAGATTGGTGGAGATGTCGATCAGAAACTGAGTTTGCAGACCACTGGTGTGAGAAATGGAGGCTATTCTGTTGCCTTGGTCGTGGTGTGGCTAGGGCCTCTGCCCACGTATGTGAAAGCCTTTGTCGAGAGTGCCCGAAACTCAGGTCCCAGCTTCTTGATTTTTCATACGCACGACGATGCACCTTCGCACCTAAAAACTGGCACGTCCAGTGTCCATTTCGACTACATGCCGCTGACAGAGTTGGCAGACAGACTATGGAACGTTGATGCCTTGCGCAAACATTTCAATCTTCCGTTCGATGCTTTTGCGCAAAAAGTACGAGAGTGCTACGCCGACGATAACCCTGCGAAAGGAAATGACCTCAAAGTGATCTATGGAGCCCTTTTTCAAAAGGAGCTCAATGGATTCACCCACTGGGGTTGGACAGATTTAGATATGATATGGGGCCAGGTTGGCTCCTTTCTGGAGCCTCTTCTTCCCATCTATGATGTAATCTCTGCTCCAGATGGTCAGAGACCCGCCCTCTACTTGTCTGGACAGCTCACAGTTTTCCGGAACAACGAGCTGTGGCGCCGATTTGTGACTGGTTGTGTTACAGGTCCAGGGTATGTGAACTATGGGGGCTGCTACTTGGAAAGCTTTCTGTCTGAAGCCAACGTCTTCTTTGATGAGAAGGTAGCAATTTGGTATGCTGCCTTACGAGGAGCACATATCTTTGTGGACTTTTCATTGGTCTTGTCTGACGCCCGATGGCAAAGGCTCTCTGCTCACCGGAAACCAAGTCTGTACCGCGATGATGGACACCTTGTCGTTCCACATGACTCTAGTGTTTTACCCTTTTTGGACATAGAACAGCGGAATTCGGAGGTTCACTTGCTTCAAAACGTGAGCAACTGTTTTTCGGAATTTGGAGAGGGTTGGAGCTTCGTGTGCATACCTTTTGACACGCATGCCATGAATGATGCATTCGGAGCATCCTACGAAGTCAATCAGAAGCGATTGTTTCTTTGGCCATCGCCCCTTCGTCCTGTGGATCGTGGAAGTGAGTTTGCCGCTTTCCATTTGCACAGAAGCAAAGCATCTTTCAAGATGCATTGGGAGAACTGTGGGCCCTCGGAGAACAACTGGCATTGCTACAAGAACAATGGGATCGTTTGTGCGTGCGAGCTTGCTTCGACCTTTTCCAAGGGATTCAATCCCATTCCCAACATCGTGCACTTTGTGCTGACTGATAGAGACACCAGATTCTTTGATTGGCCTTGCTATGTTGCAATCCGAAGTGCTTGGGAGAAGCTTCGACCTGAGAAGCTTTTGGTACATGTACTGGATGGCATTGAGCCAAACACCTCGGCTGCATGGTGGCAGGCTGCCAAGCGCTTTGTATCAGACGTGCTTCCTTTCCCGCGGTCTGAAGTTCCTTTGTCATTGAACGGAGTTAAGATAACGCACCCTGCCTTCATTGCGGACTTCCGACGTATTCAAATTCTCTACAGCTGGGGAGGAATCTACATGGACACAGATGCTCTCTCGCTTCAGAGCTTTGATGCTTTGAGACACTGGAAGGCAGTGCTTGGACGTCAAGGGGGTGATGAGTTGAGGGCAACAGTTGGTCTGATGATGTTTGAAAAGCACTCTGTTCTTCTGGATACTTTGTTGGATCGAATGAAGCGCGCTTACACCGGAGCTTGGGGCCTTCATGCGGGGTCGCTTGGCGTATTCTCGGATGGTCGTGCGACTTCGGATGGGGTCGGTTGACGGCGGTACTGGCATGAAGCATTTGTAGATTTTTTGGTTTGTTTGTCAGCATTTCTTTGCTAGGATGTATATATATATATAATATACATCTCTCTCTCTATGTATATATATATATATTATATCCTCACGGGTTTATTTAAGACTGTGACACGTTTGTCAAAAGCACCACGTTTTTTTTAAAAACGTTTTCACGTTTTTTGGGAAGACAAATAGCGTTTCTTTAGATCAAGGACCTCAGGTGTGCAAGCAAACATGTATGCGCAACACAGCACGAGTACTAGTATTGTGTAGCAACGTAGAAGGGTTTCTTCTGTGCAATTTGAACCGGACCGAACGCTAACATCCCACCCCGCCCCACCCCCACCCCACACTCAGTCGTTCGCATTGTGTAGCAACGTAGAAGGGTTTCTTCTGTATGAGCGTGCAATTTGAACCGAACGTTAACGTGCCATCCGACCAAAACCCTCGGAATCATGGCACAGTTCTAAAGTCGTAATTACAGTGTGTTTTACATCGACCGATGAAAACATGCGCGGTAAATACGCATAAATACCGCGCTAAATTCCGCGAACGGATGCTCAAAAAAATGCGCAAGTAGCGTATGAATGTACATGTGAGGTTAAAAACGCGCACAGTCCTAAGTAAACCCGTCTGGATACTTCAACTGTTTCATTGCTGTCATTCTTGGTGTCCCTGTGCACATAAAGGCATGTGCTTGATGACATGATGAAGGAGCTCCAACCTCCAGGTGTTGCAATCCTCGGTCACAGCAGCGGCTTCTTCGCATCTTCTTGGCTTGCGGCAGACTTCATGGAACTGATGGAGGAATCTGGACGAGTGGACTGGAGCAGATGCTGGTCTTTGCACCTCTACAACTCTCAGACAAAGCGCCATGGTTTGAATTAAACGATATAAGCTGAAGGAAGTCTACGCTTGGTACTTACCCTGCATTCTTTTCCAAGGGGACTTATACAGGACCTTTTACTTGGAGGCTATGGGCACGCATCTACAGTGGGTCAAAGACTCCCCTCAGCATCACATGTTCATCTACATCCAAATCCAAATCCAACTTGCAACCAAGGAAATACACCAAAGATCCACTCGAGCTCTGCCAGAACGCAGGTTCACCTTACAAGGCTGGAGACCTATGTGCTGGCTTAAACATGGCCATTGCGTCTTGGCCTTAAGCATGGCTCGCCCCCTTTAGGAACACGTTCATTGTGCGCGGGTTCTGCAATAGCTTCAATGGCATGGGTGATAGCAGTTATTGGTTTTGTGATCGTAACAAAGTAGTTGACAGTTTTGGCGGGTCACAAAGTTTTCACCCTGGCACGTTGCCCAAGTTGGTGCCTTATAGGGGGCCCCTACTTTGCTTGGCGCCTCTTCATGGTGCTGGTGACGTGTTTGACAGGGGGCCGCTGCCAGATGTGCGGCTGTATGCGCTTTGAAGCTTGGGTGCTGGTGCCGCTGCAGGGTGCTGCCTGAGGATGCCAGATGTTTGCTGTGTGCGCGGAGCTTGGGTGCTGGTGCCGCTGCAGGGCATTGCTGCCAGATGTGTGCCCATGTGCGCCTTGGAGCTGGTGTGCTGGTGCCGCTTGAGGGTGCTGCTGCGGGCCTGGGTGCTGGCGCCGCTGGAGGGCGCTGCGGAGTGCCGCGGCTGCAGTGTGCTGGCCACCAAAATCTTTTTGCTATCCGGGGCTTGTGCTGGCGCACTTATGCAAAATCGAAAATCATGATGTTCCAGGCAAAGAGTTGGAGGTGGCTTGAAAAGAAGGACCCAACAAGGGAATATCAGGCTTTAGTCATTTTTTCACTTACCCAGCAAAAGGATTGGGGTAGCCATCCTGTTGCCAAAGTAGTCGCAGCCAACTGCACACATCCAGCAAATGATGACAGTGCAGCGACATCCGAGGACATGTCTGACATTTACTCCATGGTGAATCAGGGCTACCCGTTGATGAACAGTAAGGCCCTCATTGACCAACTGTGAAAGTTTGGCCAATCTCATAAGGCGTTGTTTAATACCTTCCCCTTGTTGCACCGTGCCATTCTGTTTGAACCACTGCCGTGTTGGTACTGAGGGCGGCTAGAAGAAGTCTTCGAACAAAGAGTTGCAGAACAAACTCAGTTGTTCCATGATGCAGCGCCCCAGTGACAAATCAAGGCAGATCAATGCAGAACGGTTATTTTTTTCTGTGAACAGTTTGCAGTTTGCTCGCAGCTGTGTGCTTCCGAGCGACAAACCAAGGTCTCGCCCTCTTTGGACATCGTATCAGTTAAGGGCTTCAAGGCTCGACCAGATGCAGCCAAACCTTTTAGCACTGAGTGTTCAAAAGTTCCACTTACACGGCATAAACTGCCGAGCGTTCAAACGAAATCAGTTGGCAGCGATGGTAGTAGCTTGGTTTTTCAACGTTGCCCAGAGCTCAGTGGGCCCACGTTTGGAGAGTTTCCGAGGCAGAGTTGTGATGGTGAAGAGATGCAGAGACTCCTGCGGAAGACACTCCTGCATGCGGAAAAAGGTGGAACCAAGACTGCCAGGCTAAGTTGCGGCTGTACCTGGGGAGTTCCTGCTTTGTGAAGGTGGCAAAGTGTCTCCTAGTGAAGCACGTCAACGCGCAGTCTTATTACAGCTCTGGTGGTGTTCCATTTGGGAAAAAGGAGCAAGCGGCCTTCAAGGCAACAGTGTGAGTGCAAGATTGAAGAAGCGCATTTGGCATTGATTTTGCAGGTGCAGGACAGGAAGTGCATGGGACCTTGGAGATTTGTGTAAACTTCCGTACTCATTAGACTCCAAACAGACATGAACATTGTCATCATAGCACAATACCCTTGGTGCACACGCATTTAGAACAGTTGTTGAGGTGATCAGAACTTTGATTGGGATCAAGGGCACTGGAAACAGCTCAAAAAGTTCCAGAACCATTCCAGAACCCACAGTACCAGTCCTCACAAGCACCGCTTGCCTGAGCTGTTTTGGGGCGGTATGGCCACGACCAGAAGCCTTTTTTCCAAAGGACCTGACTATGTGCCTCTCGAGGCAGCTTTTAGAAAGCTCAGATATACTTAAATGAGAGAGGAGCTGAGGGGCGCTTGTGCCAAGTTCTAGGATCGAGTAATAATTTAATATCATGGAAAACTCGGAGACTTGGATTTCTGAGGGCTCTTTCAGCCAGGTCAGCACGCATTCGCTAGAAGATGAAGCAGATGAAGACCCTGTGAATCGTGACACGCTTCATGCCTGCCGGAGTTGTTGTGGGGCTTGACATGACTTCTACCTTACTAGTTTTTGCAAGTGTTTCTTCTCTTTTCCGACCAAAACACTGCCAGGGAACATATCGCTACCGGCCACTCAGTGTTGGTCTCAGCACTTGGGGGAGGGGTTTGGCTGAACCCAGCCAGTCGCGGAGGCCAGCGGATGAGGCGGCGATCTACTCGACCAGTTGCATCCTTGGATTGATAGACTGATAAGATTCTGAAAGCAGACAGTTTGCTTTGGCTGCTTGGCATTCTGTGGTCTCCAGTCAGTGTGCTTGCTCAGACCCTTTTTTTTGCTAATGTTCGTGCACTAGAGTCTTGAATGGCGTTCATTTCGCCAGAGCACCCATCATGGGAAGTGCAACTATCACTGCTGCTATCACAACTGGCACCCGAAAAGCAACCCGGAACCAGCAAGACAATCAGAATAGTTTTGAGCAAGACATGGCCCATGGCGCTATGGGACACTTCACACTGCTTGCACTGACATGGCACTGCCTACACTCGCTGACTTGTTGATACTTTTGCCTCAGTTGTTGAGTGTTCGAATCCATAGATCAATCACATCAGGGTGAAAGAGCCAAGAGGCCAAAGTCTGCAGAAACTCAATTTGCACGTATCAGAGCCAAGATGGCGCATAAGTGCTTTTTTAGGTTTAAAAGTTGATGGACAGCTAGGCTTCTTTGTTTCTTCTTCGTTTTCAAGAAGGAAAGGAAACGCAAAAACCGACTCCAATGCAAAGAGCTTGCAAGGTGCGATGCTGGTCTAGGATTGTGGGAGGCATGAAATTGTCGGCATGTTTTTGCTGAGTGGCTGAGCGGTCCACGAATGCGCAGCACGCAACCAACTTGACACTGTTTTTTTGGAATTCTCTGAATCCTTCACCACTGGGCAGGTGTGGCAGTATTTTTTGTGGTTGCAGCTGTGGCGAGTGGTCCTCAGCAGCAGGTTTTGGTTCTTTTGGGAAAGCTTCTGCTTCGAACATAAATACTGGTACACTATATACATCATTGTTTAAACAGCCAACCTTGTTCTAGACATCTATTGAAACACCCTCTCCTTGGAACAGAAGACGATTGCTAACAGAGTGTCCCGATTCTGGAAACTCACCCGATTCTGGAAACTATCCGATTCAGAAACTGGGGGTGGGGGGTGGGGTGGGGATCTAATGAAATGTTTGTGTTGATGTAGCGTGGACATCTTCGTATTTCACAGACCCGATTCAGAAACTATGCGATTCAGACCCGTGATAGTTTCCGAATCCCAGTTTCCGAATCCGCTCCTTCTAGTTTCCGACTCCCAGTTTCCAAATCCGCCGTTCTAGTTTCCGAATCCTAGTTTCCGAATCCGCGCCGCGCCTAGTTTCCGAATCCGTGGCCACCCTAGTTTCCGAATCTGCGGTTCTAGTTTTCGAATCCGCCGTTGAGGCTTTGGATTTGGGCTGTGGCATCGGACTTGGCTTCTGTTTGCTCAAGCCATTGAGTGGATGGTAGACATGCAGCAGGTTTTGCTGCTTGTGCGTTTGCATGCGATGCGACAGTCGCATGTGCCGCCGAACACCATGCAGGACCCTTGTGGACGCAAGGTAAGAGACAGACTCGGTGTAAAATGAATGTACTGTAAATGTGGAGAACGTGGAAAGTCAAGGGATGGATTCAGTAAGGCTGTAAAGATTGTTTGTTCATGTTTTGCTACGTTTGCCGTCTACAGTTATCCTCTTATTGTACAAAATGGTGTGCCCCTGGGGATTGACTTATCTACCGAAGTTTGTTGTTGTTCTGTTTATATAATTTGTTCTGTGAACTGATGTGAATGTGCTGTGCCCATGCGTTGCTTGCTTGTGTGATAGATCCAACAACCTTGTTTCATCGTTTTCTTTTTTAATCAGTGATAGTAGATCCTTGGTGCAAAGGTAATGTTTAGCACTAGATGTTGGGTCATTGGATGTATATATATATATATAATATATATATATATTAGATTGTATTTGCAGTTGCTTTGGGAAGAGGCAGCTTTGATTGAACCGCTTTATTCGGCCGTTTGGTTCACACATCCTCGCTCGGGCCTCGCCTAGAACCACCATCCTCCTGCTGCTGCTGCTGCTGCTGTTTCCGCGATACAAAACCTAAACTTTCTGGCAATCGGAAAGAATGAGTAAGCGCCCCCCCGCAAAAAGGAACCTGATGTCCGAACGTGACCCGATCGCATCGGGCACCTCCATGCGGAGCAGCATATTTCCAGACAGTTGATGACAGAAGTTGCACTAGGAGTTGAGCAGTTTCTTTGCAATCATACGTACATGTGATGGGATTCACACAACATAATTCTTACAAAGCCTACTCAGGAATGGCAAGTTCTCACTATGGGCAACCTTCGTGTTTGCAAAGAGTTGCTTTGGCAGCGCTGTGCCGTTGGGGTTTTGATGGCACTTCTTTTCACCTGATGTGGCTTTCTTCCAATGCGGTGTGCCATGTGGTGATGTGACTTTTGGCCAACTGATGTGACTTACTGTAAGCTCTGCGCTTGTATGTGCTTCTCGTGTTGACCTCTATAGTTGCCGGTTTTCTTCGATCCCAGTTTCATTCCAACAAACAGCCGGGAGTGAACTCAATAAACGGCCAAAGCCAACAAGGACGATGTCACGCTTAAACACTGTACGCACAGCCTCATTTTGCCGACTACCGGAAAACTGATTGGCTTTCATGGCTTCAGAGAATCGTGTTCCAAGTTGAACAAGACATGAGACGCTGACCAATTTGCATCCCTAACCGGTGATTGATGTGTGTGGCCCGAGTGGAGGATGGAGGAGAGCCCACACTGATTGGTCCAGTGGCTTGTTGGCATTAGGAGAAAGACCGCAGAACTCTGCAATGCAGATGGACCGGAATTCATTGTAACTCATTCGCTTAGGTGGACATACCCATGCTGGCGCCACCTTCAAACTGACTCGTGGTGCCCAAAAAGATGTCATTTGGGCGTGATTTTGGGTGGGCTGTGTTGCTTTCGTGCCATGAAGTCGAACTCTGTTTTGCGAACTGTCCTTGAGGGCCGCACGTTTAGCGAATTGCAACAAGATTTCGGCATGAGCCGGGTATCAAAGTCAGGCAGCACTCGGTACTTGGGTTGAAGAGGATCCTGCTGGTGAAATGAAGAGGATCCTAAATCATTTCTCGACTCAGGTTTGTTGAGGGATTCGGAGCTTGACTAGCCAACCAAGCTGGTGTTATCCATTGTTGTGCCTAGCATGCAGCCATGGCTTCTTACGTGAAGGCCGCCGGCGTTTGCTCTTAGTACGGTACAGTCGTTCCATTAGCACAGATCCTGCATATGCGTCATGTTGATGTGACCAATGTCCTGCATCCTGCAAAAAACCGTACTTGGGTCGAGAACTGCTTCCTTGAAGAAGCCTGAACTTTACTGTGTCACCTCTAGCAGCGCTGCTTACTGGTAGCTACCTGGATACCCCTTACTACTATGGTCACTTAATCAGCTTAAGCTCTCCTTGTGACCTACCCCCACTTCCAACGGACACTCTTTGCAAGCCAGTTCTGTGAACCTTTCGTTGGAATGCTGCAGGGGGAGCGAGTGGAGGTCTGGAGCAACTCGCAGAAGGTGAGCGAGCAACCCTTGAAGATCCAAAGTCCTGACTTTCCTTAAAAATCCTTGTGAAGGCGTGGTCCACAGATGGCGTTGTTCTGGAGGCCTATGCTGAGACTCGCTTTGAATTCACATCCATGCATGACTTATCCTCAAGCTGCCAGGCTCCTGACCGTGATTGTGTTATAGATGGGTACGCCATTCCTGCAGGTGCTTGGTCGTGCTCCGTTCGTTTTCGATGCGAAGTCTTCCATAGTCTGCTCAACTTCTCACGAGCAGAAGGATATGACGGATTTAGGTCTTGAACTTCAAAAATGTTACTGTATCCCCATTTTTGCCATACCTAACATACCCCGCCTGCTTTCTCCGACATTGAAACCCGACTCATTCTGTCCCATTTTTGTTCCAACGCATTCTTCCCTTTTGTTCAGCGTTTGCCTGAATGCAAAACCCTTGAGAGTTTTCCACACAGCTCGCCTCACTTGATCGTCAAGTCAGACTGAGGTGCTGTCAAAGTCACATCGTCTGCTGGAACCAAATGGATTTTGCCGGACCAAGTGCCAGACGTTCTCCGTAAGTGGAACTGACATGTCTCATTCTGCGCAGCACTATGACATGTGCTGAGCTTTCAGATGTCCCTGAGCTAGGGCTGTTGAGGGGCTCTGGGGGTGACTGTGCCAGGGCGCAGGGTGCTGAGCCGGATCCGAGACCGGCCCCAGGCGCTGGGGCCGGTCCATCAGCCACCAGAGCAGATAGCAGGCGAAAGAAACGATTCGTGCAAAAAGACTCCAAATATGTATGTATGTATGTATGTATGTATGTATGTATGTATGTATGTATGTATGTATGTATGTATGTATGTATGTATGTAT